ATTACGGATGTGAGATGGACTGGCGCTTTAAAGAGATGGTTGTCTTCTTGGAGAAATTTCTAAAGGAAAAAATGGCGTCTGGCCTGCAGATGGGTGTCGCGTAATAAAGAAAGGAAGTTATGAAGATATCATCTGCAGGGGGATGTGATTACAAGCAATGTTATACGTCGAAGATCACCATTTGTGGGGATCACGTTCAGTACGCCCAGAAAGTTCTTGGAATTCAAGCTTCTCAATTTTAACCCCTTGTATTGCGATGCTTTTGTTCTGAGGGTTGATGGTTACGAGGGATTGTTATACAGGTATATGCCACGACTCTTGGCTCTTCACTTCGGCGACAGGCAAGTTCAACTCAACCCATTAGGGAAAACGGTCCTCAAGGGAAACTACCAGTGTTCGCAGAGATTTCATTTACCATATATAGTACTATATTACCCAAAATGAGATTTATTTTTTTCTAAAATAATGTACTTAAAGTACTGAGACCAAAGTGTGTTGTTATTGATGTTGAATTTCGATAGTGGTGTTGCAATATACATAAACATACAGGAATAATTTACCAATATTAAGAATTTTCTCTTTAAAGAAAAGTGCATGAGATTTTTTTCAAACATAATTTTTATCTACAATTTAAAGAAAGCGTAAAACTCACGTATAAAATTTTTCCCTAATTGTTGTTTTAGTAGCTATGCAGATAGTTCTTATATTAGCGCTTAAGAAATGTTACGTGACAATATTTAAAGGAAGTTTCTTCTTTTTTATTTATTTAATTTAAATAATAAGATAGGTACTGGCGAACTTGATCAACTTCTTTCTCCTTTCTTAATGCAGTCTGATTAAAACAGTTTTTATCCCAAAGGGCGTTAGCCCAGAAGGGCTATTAATTTCGCTTTGGCATTTTGCGTTGATTCACTATAAATGTCGGTTCACGTTTCAAACTGTTGCCACAAATTATTAGAGACTTGTATATATTTAAAGAAATTAAATAATAAAGAATCTGCATAAATGTATGTATGTTTCTCGCAATGTTATAAAACAGCGGTACCTAGAACCATCAAAGTTTGAATAACGTACGTTTCACCCGAATGTGGAATTTGTTTTATTATCTATTTCATAGTTTGTAAAACTTTTAACGAATTTTTAATTAACAAACTCAATGATTTCAAAGCGGGCAATGACAACACTGTACGAAAAAGGAAAAAAGAAAAAAAAAAAAAAAAAAAAAAGAAAAAAGAAAAAAAAAAAAAAAAAAAAATATCTGACTGTGTATTGGAAATTGTAATCATATGCTCATTTTAAAATTATTTTGAGATATTGCTCTTGAACTGGATTTTATGGTTTAAGTGCGGAGAACATGCTGTTTAATAAATAAAGGTAACATCCAAAACGTTAAAAAAAAAAAAAAAAAAAAAAAAAAAAAAAAAAAAAAAAAAAAAAACCTTTGGGAGTAATGTAAAATCTGAAAGCTTTCAGATTTTATTTATTTTTTAAAATTTTTTATTCTATATGATTATAGGATTTATTTTTTGTTCTGTACGATTTTCTTTATTCCGAGGAAGTCCAGAAGGGGCACGTGATCAGATGTCATTTCATTAACAAAAGGTAATGCCAGTGGAACGTTGACAGTAGAAATGAAAAAGTCTCAAATGTCCTGCCTTCGACTAATAATGTTTGGCCTATAAGTTGGTCCGTGCGGCTCTTGAAGTTATACTGGGTTATTAAGAAACAATCATGAACTATCTGCAGTACTGTCATGAACTGTCCGCGTTAGTTTGTTCTATTATAACCACAGGCACAATGTTTGATGTTGGGTCGCCGCCTAAAATTTTAGAAGAATCTTTTTCTAGTAATCCTTTTGGTGATTGGCACTAAGGCGATTGTTCGACTTGTTATAAATTGCACAAAAGGTAAATGGGTCGATATCTCGCAGTTAACCGCTCCCGTAAATGGCTTCAAACAATTTGAATTGTCCGAGCTTTTCAGAGTCGTAGCTAGGATTTTCAGCGCCCAGGGACAACTGAAGATTTCGCGCCCCCTACTGCTCGCCAAGGATGGAAAACATTTAATTCTAAAATGTCGTAACATCAGTTTGGCGCCCCTTGGATTCTGCGCCCGGGGACAGATGCCCCCTTTCCCCCCTCTAGCTACGCCCCTGGAGCTTTTGAAACCAGAATCAAGTGTCTTTTTCACATCATTTTGAAGGGTTAAGGCCCGTCCACACGAGTACGCTCGAAACGTAGCTGACGAACGCGCTTTTACGTTACCAGCGTAAAAGCTACGTTACCAGCTAGCTACGTTACCAGCGTAAAAGCGTCCAAACGAGTACGCTTGCGAAGAGTGCGTTTAACCAATAGAATTATTTTGCGCAAAAATCACGTGACGCTGTAATATAGCGTTAACAGAGCTGTATCTTATTACTTCGCTGTTCTTCTGTATGTTGTGCGGCAAGTTGTCCGAATCAGATGATTTTTTTTTTTTTATAGCTGAAACTTTACTATTATGTGCAATTATTAAGCAAAGGCAAAACCGCAAAAAATGGCAAGAATGAGTCCGAAAGATTTATTTAGAGCGATCTGTTCAAAGAGAATTTTTTTTTTTTTTTTTTTTTTTTTTTTTTTTTTTTTTTACTGCCTTGTTTGCGAAAGGAATATCTGGAATTATTAAATTCCTACTATTAGCTCACACTCTCCCTATATCTTGTTCAAATTTTCAGTACATAAAATGCTTTTTATTCATCCACTCAAGTTCAAATACAATTTTTTAAACTTGCAGTGAATGACACTTGATGTTAATACAGCTTTTTCACATATTAAATTTTTTTTAATTAAAAAAAAATTATGTTTGTATTTTTATTTATTTATTTTTGCATTTTTAAACTTTTCTTTGTGGACCTAAGTAGGAATTCACTTAATTTTTTTTTGTATATTACTTGTTTTTTAATTCCTTCAGGATGAGTATCGACCAGTTTGACAGACTTGCAGATTCTATATCGTATGAAAATTAGGATTTATAAAATTGGTTTGGAATACAGTATATAAAGAGAATTAAATTACTTAATTCTCTTTATATACACCATCCACCATATAATAAAAACCAACTTCATATTTTTTTAACTCGCTCTACCTTGGTCTTTTGTTTTCTTTTATTTATTTTTGAATTTAGAATGAGGTTCAAACTTTGGACAGTTTATGAGAAATTATGTGCATGATAAAATATGCAATAAAGTAAAAATAAAGAGAGAATTTATAGATGATATATGATAAAGAGATGCAGATATATTTTTACATACGGATTTCTATTTGCATTGCACATTTTAAAACTAAATTAAAAACAATAATAATAATGAATAAAATAAGAAATGAAAACAATAATAATAGGTAAAATAAGAATATAATGATTCATGATTAAATATAAGGAACACGTTTCAAAATGAGAAAAGCTAACTGAATTTATACCGTCTACGGGTGAGATTCGAACTTGCCACCTTTCCATTCCTCCGCCACCAAAGCAGCGCGCTGCCCACTCAGCTATCTGTGATAGCAATGTTTGTGAAAAATAATGTAACAAGTAGAAGTCGCTGCAAAGGTAATTTAATTAAACTTCAATAAATGATTGCTGCATGACACAAGTTGTAACTTTCCTCCAAAATTTCGTAATTGTATTTTATTGAATACTCTTTCACAGTCAACTGCTTTATTTTAGAAGTTATTATATTGCTGAAGTTAGTTTTTGGTGTATTTAATATTGGGATATTTATAGAGATAGCCAATATTTATAATAATTAAGGAGAATTTTGTAAGGCAGAAACTTTGATTTCGTAGAAACTGTAATTTATTTAGGTTCCTATTACTTACGGTGTTATAAATAGGTGAAGCATATGGATATACTGGTCGGATCATTGCTTTATAAGTATACAGTTTTCCCCTTTAATGAGAATTTTAAATGTATACTAATATGTACGGTTTGAGAAATCTGAAGATGGCGTGAACAATGCTGATTATTTTATTGCTGTATACAGTTATATTTCTAAGCAAAAACTCATCTCTGTGTGGCTCTGACGCCATATTGAAACGGGTAAGCAAGAAGGTTTTCTGATTATGACACGTGATAAGAACTCGGTCGGCTATTGGCTATACGCGCGCGTCGCGGGCGAAAAAGCTGAACAGGAGCGTACTCAGTTTTACGTCTTCTGCGTCCTGCGAATTTACGCCGGCGTCAAAAAAGTTACGTCAACTACGTCGGGAGCGTCCTCGTGTGGACGGGCCTTTACGTGGCCAGAGCGGACAGTGGTTACAGCGGACACTGCGAAACTCATCGTGGTCAGAGCGGACACATTTTTTTTCCCCATCATGGAACAGATAAAGGGTGCAGATAAATAAGTAAATAAATACTTTTAAAAATTACAAATATAGTTTAAAACAGTATTTTAAGTGGCAAATCTCTTTCACGTGGGATAACGTTTTTTTCACCGAAGTTTTCTGTTTTTGCACTCGATTATCGAATTACAAGGATAAATACATTTTTGCCAATCAAATTTAATTATTTATATTAAATTGTTAAGATATTATAGTGCAAATGCATTTTAAACATAGCAAAATGTAATAAAAATAAAAACTTTCAGAGAAATATTTAAAAATTAATAGTAAGTAACAATAGAATGAAGGGTATGAACGAACTCCAGGGATTTTGTGGAAAACTGTATTTTAGAGTCAAATAAATATTAGAACAGATGCAACTGCCATAAAATTAATTAGTTTCATTAATGTAAGTAAAAATAAATACTAAAAGTAAAATATATAAAACAGATACAAGTAAATAAAAGAAAAATAAATACAAGTAAATGAATACTAATTAACCTTTATTATAAAGGCATAAATATCATTTACCATTGGATTTAGTCCAACCTAGTTACAAAACTTAAAGATTTCAAACATTTTTCTAAATTGTTTGATGTTTCGAATTCCTTAAGGATGTTTTCAATTCTTTCATCCAATTTTACGTATGCTTTTTTTCTTTTTATTCCAGGGTCGCCTAATTCTCTGGATTTCAAATTAAAAGACACTTTTTGTGTTTCTTCTTTTAGTATTCTGACTAATAAGTGGACATTAGGCTGGTTTCTGCCAGTGATTGCATTTAATTTGGAATTCCACCCTTCAACAGAATTATTTGTCCTATGACGCTGTCCATATACGTTCCATGCTTTAATGGGCATATTTGGATTGTCCATCCACTGCTCGACAAAATAATCAATGAATGTGGTAAGTTTGTCAATGCTAAAAGCTTTTTCCCATACAATGCTCCAAGCATCATCTATGTGTTCCATTGGCAAGTAAGCTAATGCAGAAATCATTCTACAAACATTTCTTATATCTTCGTTCTCTTTATATTCCTTTACTAGACCCACTTCTTGTATCTTACGCCACAAACATTGATTAAAATGAAAGTTACAACCGGAAATAGTCGAACTGGGAAATTCTAACATACAACTATTGATGGCTGCGGCTTCAAAATCCAATTTTATAATGTCCGGCTTCCACTTAGGGCACCAACGTTTCGCTTCCTGAAGCATTGCAATGTAAGTTGCTTGTCTCTTATCAGGCAGAAATGCAAAAAGCGCTGGGTAAACGTTGGTCTCAGTTGCTGTACTCCTTAATCCACGTGTATTGTATATATTTGAGCAAATTGTTTCGGACAACTTTTAAATGTTCCATCTAAGAAAAAAGTCTTTCCATTTTCCAAAAGGTGCAGAGATTCTTCTCCTCCAAATACTAAAATCCTGTTACCTTGGTCATTTTGAAAGTCTAAGCGAAGAAAGTTTTCTCCATTAGAAAGCAAAAGTGTATCGTTTGCAAACTGAATGTCATTGGCATTTTGGGGATTTTGAAGAGCTCCCAAAGCCTTTCTCCTCTCCTTACATAAAGCAGTTTTGGCATTGGAGTATGTCGGTATTTTAGCAACGAAATCATAACCTTTCTGATATAATTCTGAAAGTTCTTCGTGAAATATCTGGGGAACGGGAACTGATGTTTCTTCTCGGACTCTTTTTCTGCAAGTCTCTAACTTCCTTTTAACTTCGATCTCAGCAACGTTGGGTGGGCAGGTATGTTCAGTTTTCTTCAGTACTTCGTACTGAAAATTTGTCTTCACATTTCCTTTACAATGATGTGCCTTTTCTTTTACACATACCCAACTCATTCCTAATTTATTTTTTCGGTGTAAACGGTGTGGGTAATCATCTACAACTAAACATTCTTTTCCTTTTTTTGTAGAGAGTAATTTTGTTGAAATGGCTATGGGTTCCATCACAGATTTTTTCGACGATATAAAACGACATACACACTTCAGGATCGAACATCTACTGAGAAAATGAGAAAGGCCTTCTCTCTCAAAAGTATCGGCTTATCTCTACAGCAGGCGCAAAGCTCGAAACTACACAATAGATCACATTTGACTGATTAGGGAAATAACACAACAGGTGCAAGAATGTCCGCTCTGCCCACCCAGCTCCCCTCACGTGTCCGCTGTAACCACTGTCCGCTCTAGCCACACCACCTTTTGAAGCCTGTCGCAGTGATAAAGGAAGTGGTGGACTAGCTTAAGTCGATGAGTTGGGTACGTAGAATGTTGTCTTCTTGAAAGAGTTTTTAAGGAAAAATGGCGCGTATTTGTGTTATTACAAATCGCGAAAACCTCACATATTGTTTAATCACTGGGAATAGGACTCAAAGGTTACCAAAATTTCATGGCTTTGGCCATTCGACTATTGTCGATTGTTAGTTTATTGTTGAATTTTTCCTCTAGTATTTCTTATTGCAGGGGTTTATTATTACTTACTGCTAGAGTTTGTGACATACTGAATGATTTTTAAAAACGTAGATTTTTCTTGTTAAGTAAAATAAGGCAAATAATTGATTTTATTCAAAGTCTGTATTTATTTATTTATTTATTTATTGGTTGGTATCATTTACCTAGCATTTTTATTTTGTGTGTGTTATATGCATGCACGTTTGTCAGTTTATTAAAAAATTATGAAAGAGTGTGCCTTTCAAGTTTTCCAGTTGTTAGAAGCAATACAAAAACAAAAATTATGCTTGGCTTTGTGTATTGAAAAACGCGGAGTATGCAAGGACTATTTGCCTGAAGGGAGGGATGCCTTTATGGAGGACTTCCTGAAGACAATTAGTTTCTATTTGCGTTACTCACACGGAAAACCAATAAAAATTCTGGAAGGTTACGTATGAAAATAATATGAACAGTTTGCAATTATTGTACTTTTGTTATAAATTATAATAGTTAAAATCCAAATCTGATATAGATCAGAGCCATATGCAAAGGTTACTTTCTCTCAATTTTTAAAAATCATATTGGGTTGTAAAAACGTTTTAGAGGTATTGTTATTGCACTAATTTTTTTTGTACTGTACTAAAAGATTTCTTTCGTACTGCATTGTATTTAGCGTCCTGTAACGAATTTGCTGTTTGTTTATTCTTGCATTTAATTTTTTAATTTTTAGATTATGGCTGTAGTTTCCCGGGAGTTTTCACCTCCACCTCAAACTGAATCATATTCATCTATGGCTGAAAGTTGGTGCTATACTCAGGCAAGTATGTTTATAAAGTTTCATCGGTACCCCGTCATTCCTCCAAGATGTTGGACTAGTAACAAACTTAATTGGTGTGAAATTGATAAGTCTAGAATTATTTGGAATTGTAAATCTGTATATGCTGTGAGGTATTTTCTCCCTCCTTTTCGCATGCCTTCATGGTGTTATTAGAAGCTAACTCGACGCGTATTCGAGAGGTCCAGTTTGGAGTCTCGGCAAGGGCATTGTACATTTTTCTGATCTTCTGCTTTAAAATAACTAATGAGTCTACAGTGACATTATACTTTTATGATAATGCTATAATACATTTTATTTATTTATTTATTTATTTATTTATTTATTTATTTTTTTTTTTTTTTTTTGCAAGTGAAACAGCTGAACCAGTGCAAATTTCTCGTTTTGAGAAATACCATGCTTCTGCAAAAATGTGTTTTGAAATTGGCCCAAAGAGAATGAACGCACTGATCCCGTAGGAAATAGAAGCTTCTTCGGCATGTAGTATATAATCTCGATGACTCTAATTTTTTTCATGAATTGTGCATTGCGTAATGGCCATTTGTTTTATTACAGTTCATGTTCAAAAGACAGAAATGAACTAGTCAGTCAACCGTTTGAAATTTAATTGAAAGCATGTTTTCAGTCCAAGGTATAATCTCGAAAATTAGAAGAGCAGTAGCGCTATTTCAACACCCGTCAGAGAAGAAGGAAAAAAAAAATAACTAATAAAATAATTAAGATTCAATAAAATGTAGAGCTAAATAAAAGTTTACTAAATTAAGGATAAAATATAGCTGAATTCTAGAGACATTAGGTTAATTGGAAAAGCCGGAGAGATGAAAAATTAGCAACCGCCTTTGCCGGGAATCGAACCACGGGCCTCTGGAATACCGGCCCAGCGTGCAGAACCACTACACCACGAAGGCACGCTAGAAAGGCGGAAAAATACCTTATATAGTTTCCCTTTTAAAGGGCGACTGGGGTTTTTAGAGGACCCAATCGCCAAATCCTGGGTGTGGAGAGTCATCATCCAGAACCCTTTTAGTTCGGGCGCCACTGTAAAGACATTAGGTTAATTGGAAAAGCCAGAGAGATGAAAAATTAGCAACCGCCTTCGCCGGGAATTGAACTACGAACCTCTGGAATATCGGCCCAGTGTGTAGAACCACTACACCACGAAGGCACGCTAGAAAGGCGGGAGAAATACCTTATAAAATAATAAAATAAAATACCGTATTTCATCTTATTTGGAATTCCTCCTGAAATTAACAACGTCACTTAGGAGCTGAGAAACTCCAGAGCCGGGTTTCTGCTGAATTCAAGCCTGAATATACAGTATAATTAACAATTTCAAGGATGCTAGAAACACAAATCATTCTTTTTCCTGCACACAGTTGAAAATAAAGTAACACTATTAAAACTTGACTTATGAGAACGGAGAAAATTCTAGAAATTAGTAATGAGCGCATGAAAGAAAATATTTACGCAGAAGTGTAACTTTGTGCGCAAGTAGAGAAGAGTCCAATACTTCCTGACCATGATTGCATGGCTATATAATTCTAGTTTTTAAGAATGATATGACTAAAGAAATAAATTTCTAGTGAATCTGAGGAATGATCTGTAAACTGAGAACAAACATAAGATTGTGTACAAGTAACTATCTCCCATATCTGGTTACGTCGTTCCCAAAAGTTTTTATGTTGTGCTTATACTTTTCTGGGGGAAGTGTCTAACGTGGGACGCATTTAACGTTAGAGACTAGCACGCCTTCCTGATGTATAAGAATATAAAGAGCTTTTCCCTTTCTCGTTCTACAGCAAACTGCAAGTAATTGAAATCACCGATTACAAATAAGCGATACAGTAACATAGCAAGATTATCACCTTGAATACTTTCGGGAACGAAAAATCTACCCGTTCTCAAACAAACTCTTACATATTTATTGCACTTCTTGGAAAATAAGAGGTTATCACACTTGGCTACTAGACGGGACTTTTCTGAGAAACGAGATTCTGGTAGCATTGATTTAAGCGGGGCGATTTCTAGAAAAAAGAGCCCCGCCGGAAGCGAAGTCCCGCCTAGCTACGGAAACTAATGTTGCGGCTACGCGGGATATTTTCAAACGTCATCGAAAATATCTCGGGTAGAGTCAACCAATCAGACGAAAGTTCTGCTTCTGAAGGATCACGGGTAACTTCCAATATGGCTGGCGCGATCGTGGACGGTGGAAATAGAAGCCAATTTTATTGACGAAATTCAAAAGAAACCGCATTTTAAGAATGTTTATATACTAATTGAATATATAATCGTTGACGCTTCAGAGTAGACAGTATTTTATGATATTCTTTTTTTCAGTACTTTCGATGACTTGTTTACAAATTATTCGTCGCCAAAAGTTCGCCAAATTCTCACATTTCTGCTGAGCGATCTGATACCTTGTTTAGCTTTACTATTGAGTTTTATTCTATTAAAGTGAACAATTTTTTAAAATCTCTTTATATATGCACGACTTCACTTTTCTACTAATTATCTTTTAAACTGTTTATTGCATGATACGCAACATGTAAACAAAGATGCATGAAAAAGGGAAAGCATTACTTTTCTAATTGATTGACAATACTCATTAAATTTGTGTACTGTTATTTTTATGTTATTAATAAAATACTTGGTAAAAGTATAGTTTAGGGTACCCCTTGGCGATTTTTGGCGGTACATGGATACCGATTTTGTGCAATTCTTTGACTCATTATTTTGGCTTGCGAAGCGCCGATTTTGCGCCAAAAATCGCCACTACACAAAGCCAAAATAACAAGACAAACAATTGCACAAACTCGGTATCCATGTACACATCGACTTATTTTCACTTTAAAAAAATCCCCGAATTGTACAAAAATGGCATTGCACACTCTTAACTTTAACCATGTACACGTCGACCTATTTTCACTTAAAAAAAATTCCAGAATTGCACAAACTTGCATTGCGCACTCCCTTTACTTTGTTCATGTACACATCGGTATATTTTAACTTAAAAAGTCAAAGGAGCACCAAATTCTACAATATAGGCAAACAAAAAAATACATAATCTCAATAAAATATATTTTAAAGCAAACAATAAAATAACATAAAAAAGGAAAAACATGTTATACATTTAAGCACTACCAAAGCAAATATTAACTTACCATGATTTTCGAGTTCGCTTCGTACACTCAGAGCCACGTAATAATCAAAATATCAGTCATACTCAAATGACATTTTTCAAACCAAGTACTCTTTCTGATCGAACGCTTCACATAGTCATCTTCCTTTCTTCCTACAACCCCATTTGAATCCATCTAAACGGTTTTTACGTTCGACTAGACGCATATGCTTCCTATATACAGGACACTTATAATGGCTACTAAGTAAACCTTCATTTACACACCAGTCAATTAAAGCTCTTTTCCCCTTTGGCTCCAAACATCCCGTGATTCAAAATTACCAAACATCCCATGATTCAAAATTTCCCAGAATAATGCACCCGATTACGTCACAATAGGGTTTCCATAACATTCTGTTGGTTGTGCATTAGCACTGAAGGCGTAATGAGTACGTTTCCTCAAGCACAGAATTAAAGAATCATAAGTCAAAATTTTAACTACGAAATCTTTATTTAATAAAATAGGATAATTTTGCTTAACTTAAGCATAACAAAAGGTAATAATCTTCACGGACATTAAAATGGAAGTATTCAAAAGAATAACTTACATAGAATCATCATCAGTACTAAATATCACCAGGCTTACCTATTTTAGGCAATAAGAAAAAGAAACAACAGGAACATACTTTAACACCGTACCTGAAAAAGAGAAGAAAGTACTACTGGATTAGACCTTTGGCCAGGTACAAGTAGCTAGGGTGAAAATCGAATATACTGCATTGCACACGAACTTTACTTTCTCTCGCCAATATATATCTTGGCGCACGTTCGTTTCGTATGCCTTTCGAGTTTCATTATGCAAAATACCTAAATTTATGCTAACAATGCTCCTGTTTTGCTAATGAAACTCATATCAGTTGCAATTCATTCCTGCAAAACTGGAATTTAGCTTTAGGAATTGGTTTAGTCATAATATCAGCAACCATTTGCTCTATCGAAAGATAAGCAAGTTTTACTATTCCTTTGTTATTCAAGTCGCGTATATGATGAACTTTTGTATCAATATGTTTTGTGCGCGAACTGAATTTTTCAGATTCTACAAGTCTTATAGTAGACTGATTATCTTCAAATACCTTTATCGGTAGAGTTTGGGGTAGATTGAAATCTTCTGTTGTTAATTTTAATAGCCATAATACTTCTTGCGTAGCTTGCGATAGTGCAACATATTCAGGTTCTGCTGAGGATAAAGAAACACAAGTTTGTTTTCTTGAAAACCATGAAATACAGTTTTTTCCTAATAAAATAACACTTCCTGATGTAGATTTTCTATCTTCAATATCTTTTTTCTATCTCCAATCAGCATCTGAATAAACTGTAATATTAGGTTCTTCACTCGACGAAATTTGTAAGGATAGGATCTTTGTCGTGTTTAAGTATCTAATGATTCTTTTAACAGCATTCCAGTCCTTTTGACGTGGATTATTACACCTTCTGCTGAGTATGTGAGTTGAAGCTGTGATATCTGGTCTTGTGATAGACGATATATACAAAAGACTTCCAATAGCTTGGCGAAATTTATCATTTGAAGTTAGGAGATTTTCTTCCTTGTTTAGGTTATAATAGTTTGTTTCCATTGGTGTGCTAGCGGGTTTCGCTTCTTCAAGTTGAAATTGCTTGACAAGTTGATTTATTTTATTTTTCTGTGATAAGAGATAACTTCCATCTTCCTTGCGATTTATTTCCATGCCTAAGAAATATTTAGCTTCACCAAGATGCGTTATTTGGTAACGTTTCTTTAAATCATTAATTGTTTGAAGAATTAGTCCTTCTGTAGAACTTATTAGGATGTCATCAACATACACTA